CAAATGAACCAACGTCTGTGCCAATACACGCACGCTCATCGTGTATGAAGACGAGCTTGAATCGTACACTTCCACTGTACCGCCTTCAAGGTCGATCATGACTCCACACCAGTGGCTCCCATTGCAATTCACAGGTATCAACACCTTCTCACGTGTAAGCCCGCTCAGTGCGTCTCTGATGATTTCGCCGCAGGAGGTCACCTTTCCGTCAACTACAGTGCCAAGTGTTGACGAATCGAAGACAGTAATTCCGTCCTTAGAGCCAAATATCTTGGCCAGTATCTTGTGCATTATCTCGTCCGTTATTAGTCCCTTGCCTGCAATGTCCAGTACATCCACCTGCATACATTTCATTAGTCGTAAGATATTGATACAACTTCAATCCAATTAATCGGAAAAAATATCATACCTGTGACGTCAAAACCTTAATCTCCTTCAGCTTGGATGGCAAGTCCAGGTCGCGCTCGACAGAAAAATTGCTGTTGTCGCAACGCGATAGATCCACGTTATCAATCCATGCGAGCGCACTATTGATTCTTCTAAACGCCGCATTTGCAATATGCCATTTTTTCATGAGCTTTATCGTAGAATTGGCAAACACCCCAACACCAACCACTTCGAGCGCAATATCTAGTTCGCGGACGCCCTTGTGTTTTTTCTGAAACGCCACAACCTTGGTAGCACACTTCTTTATCAGATCCATCGGGAAAATTCTGGTAATTTCATCAGGTTTTACCAGTAGTTTACTTGCCGGTAGCTTCGCGATTTCGTAGGCAATAGGTGGCTTTGGTTTCCTTTCAAATTTGAGGAGTTTGAATTGCACTGTCGTTTCGTAGGATGCGTTGCAAGTAGCATCTTCAGACAGAAGCTCAAACACCGAGTTGAGGTTGCGTTGCTTTTCGTGCATCTCAAGATCTTCTTGAACCATTGCAATGTTCAAGTTTCGTTTAGCTTTGACAACTTTGGGCTTTTGTCTGGGTCTTCCTTTAGCCCTGGGGGGACTCTGAATCTCAAATTCGTCTTCATTGTCGCTAACGTTGACCGGTCTCGCCTGACTTGGAACTTCACGAGATGTGATCTCCTATGCTGACACCGTTGCCCCAACGCTTAACTCGACCAACCTGGTGCCCGACTGACCCAACTCCGCTCTCAATCCACGCAAGTCCAATTCAGGTTTATTCAACTCCGTGCTCAACTCACATAACTCAGTACGTGACTCACATAACTCAGTACGCGATTCATATAACTCTTCACCCGACTGAGCCAACTGTGTGCCCGACTGAGCCTCCTGTGTGCCCGATTGAACCGACTGTGTGCCCAACGGCACCCGACTGGGCTTGAACAGGCACATGACCACCAGAGCTCAGCGGACGATCGTCTCCGCTGCATAACCCAGTCGCAGTTTGCAGAACCATCTCCACAGCATCTCCTTCGCGCGTCGTGAGCGTCGCACTATAATCCACTTCAGTCGCAATTGTCGAAGGCTCTCTTTCACCTACACGATCATGCGAAGCAGCGGAGCCAAATTCACCAGGAGGGGAACCGCTGAATGCATCGAATTCACCGTGCCTGAACATTGTAGCAACGCTACGTAGTGCCTTCATTGCCACCCTGTACTCACGCATCCCCAGTCCACTCATGT